ACTCTACCCAGGGGGACAGCTTGAGGCTCTGTCCCAAACAACAATGAGGGCTGCAACCAAAAAATAGCCGGGCGTTGTGGCGGGCACCTGTGGTCCCAGCTAGTTGGGAGGCTGAGACAAGAGATTCGCTTGAGCCCAGGAAATGGGGGTTGCTGTGAGCTGTGATGCCAGGGCACTCTATCCAGGGGGACAGCTTGAGGCTCTGTCTCAAAAAAAAAAAAGTTGATAATAATAAAAACAATAACACACTAAGTTTTTATGAATGAGAATAATGAAATTATGATATATTCAAAAGATAGATTAGTATATAGTTATTAAAAGTCATGTTTTCAGGCCAGGAATGGTGGCTCACACCTATAATCCTAGTAATCTGGGGGGCTGAGGCAGGAAGAGCACTTGAGGTGAGCCTGAGCAAGATCCTATCTCTGGGAAAAAAAAAAAAATAGAAAAATTAGCTGAGGGTGGCACCTGTGGCTCAAAAGGGTAGGGCGCCAGTCCCATACGCCAGAGGTGGCGGATTCAAACCCAGCCCTGGCCAAAAACTGCAAAAAGAAAAAAGACAGATTAGCTGAGCATGGTCCCAACTACTTAGGAGGCAGAGGAAAAAGGATTGCTTGAGCCCAGGAGATGGGGGTTTCAGTGAGCTATGGCAATGCCACTGCACATTAGCTGGGACAGTAAAGTTAGATTTTTTCCTCTTTCAGTAAGTCAATCACTTCATCCGAGGGTCATTGCTTATCTTTCTCACTTTGAATACTTAAGTTTTTAATTGACAAAGTACTTCCTTTGTATTTTATCCTTTTAAATTACCTAATTTCTGTGGTTTCCTAAAGGATTTAAGACTGCTTATACTAAGATACATTTAATGATCCACATCATAGGAACTGTAATGTTGAGATTACAATTATATAGCCTAATATATAGGCTACAGTTCTACAATTAGGCACTAAATTTAACTTTTAGTTTCCTGGAAGTAGGCAAAAAAGAAAATATTCTGGTTCTTGTAATTTGACAAAAGGACACATACCTCTTTGTTTAAAGAAACACTTTGCTGATTCTGAACTTTGAGAAGAGATTTGTTTCATGGCCCCTTTTATGTAATTTATACTTTTCTGACTGTTTCTCGTTTTGTTGTTTTTGTCTACCCAACTAAATTATAAGCTACCTTAGAACAGACTCCATTTTTCAATACTATTTTTGTTCTGTCTCTGCCTAGAAAACATTACTTATTATTATGGTCAAAATGATAAATTAAGCAACAATTGCAACACAGCCACATTTCATGGATAATGTTGCTGCTGCTTTTCAAAGACTTTGAGTAGTTAAAGAATTAATACTACTTTCATCCCTCTTATCAGGAAGTCTTCCTGATAGACTTATTTCTTTGTGTGTAGCTTTTACTGAGCACTGCTGTCTTACAGCCCATACTTTCCAGCTGAGTACACAGTATGAAGAATAGGAAATTTTGTTTTATGAAAGGTAAATCTTTTTAAATATGGCCTATAGCTTTCAACCACCCTTTTTCCTTTCTCTTAGGCCAGGTTATCAAGGCATGGGACATTGGAGTGGCAACCATGAAGAAAGGCGAGATCTGCCATTTACTGTGCAAACCAGAGTATGCATATGGCTCAGCTGGCAGTCTCCCTAAAATTCCCTCAAATGCAACTCTCTTTTTTGAGGCAAGTATGTGTGTGGTGTTGCCTTGTCAGCATCTGCTGTACAATAGGAATGGCTTTGAAGCAACAGGCAACAGAAAAGAGAGCCAAGCTTGCTGTTTAGAATCAGATCCAACTTATTTATTTTGGAGCTTGGCTTCATAAATTGGTTCCCATAAACGTAAGGAGTGTATGCCACTGCCTTCTTAGAAATGTGTCTCTAGCACAAAAAGATCATTTCCAAATAAACAAAAGAGACAAACTAGACTTACAAATAAAGGTTCTGGTTAGTGATATGAGTGTGAAATACTCAAAATTGACCAAAAGACAGGATGGAAATGTTTGAGATAAATGTTGAACTTTGCCTATTCCAAGTTACAAGGTATTTTCCTGTTGTAAAAGTTTAAATGTCACATTCTCATTCCTTCATTAGCAGCTATCAATAGTGATAGTGTTATTCATCCTGTGTTAAATTATAAAATAGGCAAAACTTGATTTTTAAGAACCACCCTAATTTGGTAAAATATACCTTTCATCAGCTGTAGGCCAGAGTCACAGGAATTAATCTTATATTTTAAGAAAGGAATGCCATGGGTGGTGCCTGTGGCTCAGTGGATGGGGTGCCAGCCCCATATACCAAAGGTGATGGGTTCCAACGTGGCCCCCACCAAACTGCAACAAAAAAAAAAAGCTGGGCGCTGTGGTGGGCACCTGTAGTCCCAGCTGCTCGGGAGACTGAGGGAAGAGAATCTCCTAAGCCCAGGAATTGGAGGTTGCTGTGAGCTGTGTGATGCCACGGCACTCTACCCAGGGTGATAAAGTGAGACTGTCTCCAAAAAAAGAAAAAGAAAGAAAAAACAGGAATGCCATAAATCTGGGGTGGGTAAATGGTCTCAGCATCAGACAAAATGATTCTGCACCAGCACCTTGCAACTCTGGCTTTTTGCCCACAAGGCAGTTTCTCTAGTATTTCCTGTCTTTGAATTATCATTAAATTAAATTATTTGGGTAGTGCCTGTGGCTCAGTGAGTGGGGTGCCAGCCCCACATACAGAGGGCAGTGGGTTCAAACCCAGACCCAGCCAAACTGTAGCAAAAAAATAGCCAGGCATTGTGGTGGATGCCTATAGTCCTAAAAAAAATAAAAATAAATTATTTCCAAGTATTGAAAAGCAGTGCTCTTTTCCCCTACTTTTCTAATAACTAAAATGCATAGATAAGCCGAGCGCAATGGCTCACACCTGTAATCTTAGCACTCTGGGAGGCTGAGGTGGGTGTATTGCCTGAGCTCATGGATTTGAGACCAACCTGTGCAAGAGAGACCCCGTCTCTAAAAATAGTGGGCATTTTGGCGGGTGCCTGTAGTCTCAGCTACTTGGGAGGCTGAGGCAAGAGAATTGTTTGAGCCCAAGAGTTTAAGGTTGCTGTGAGCTATAACACTACAGCACTCTAGCAAGGGTGATAAAGTGAGACTCTGGCTCAAAAAATAAAATAAATAGAAATAAAATGGGTAGATAAATACATTTTTCTAAAAAGACAGAATTTCATTTTGTAAAATGAAAGAATTGCAAAAATAGTTGCCCTTGCCTTTACATATGTTAAATTGGCTTATTTGGCCTTTTTCAGTCAAATTCTTTTTTTCTTTCTAGATTGAGCTCCTTGATTTCAAAGGAGAGGATTTATTAGAAGATGGAGGCATTATCCGAAGAATAAAACGGAAAGGAGAGGGATACTCAAACCCAAATGAAGGAGCAACAGTAGAAGGTAAGTCTTGCTGTGAGAGGGAACTAGTTCTTAAAAGTTGGGTTCCATTTCTGTGAATGAAATGGAGATTTTTTTAAAAAATCTATTTATAGAAATACATATGTTGATTATATCTTAAGAATAGTTTTAGATTCAACATTTATCTAATAATGACTTTAAATATTAATTCAATATACATGTGCCTGGCACCCTACTGGCCTCTACAAACTAAAAAATAAATAAAAGGTAATCCTGGCCAGACTTGGTGACTCATACTTTTATTCTCAGCACTTTGGGAGGCTGAGGTTGGAGGATCAGGTGAGGTCAGGAGTTCAAGACCAGCCTAAGGAACTTATAGCAAGACCCTGTCTCTACAAAAAAAAAAAAAAAATTAGTCGTGTGTAGTGGTACACACCTGTAGTCCCAGTTACTCAGGATCACTTGAGCCCAGGAGTTTGAGCTTGTAATGAACTATGATGATACCACTGCACTCTAGCCTGAGCAACAGAGTGAAACCCTGTGTCTAAATCAAAAAGTAATCTATTCATCAAGGAATTCTCAGCCTGTAGATTCTTCAGTGTGCCAACAACTGTATTAGTTACCTCATATATACATTTATTACTCACAGTAACCTTAGGAAGTAAGATTTATTATCTCCAAGTAAGAAAAGGGAATTCAAAGATGTCATATAACATCTCTGATGATTACAAAGTTACTGTGTAGGCTTGGCACTGGTAGCACAGTGGTTATGGCGCCAGCCACATACACTGAGGCTGGTGGGTTCAAACGCAGGCCCAGGCCAGCTAAACAACAATAACAACTGCAAAAAAAAATAACCGGGCATTGTGGCAGGAGCCAGTAGTCCCAGCTCCTTGGGAGGCTGAGGCAAGAGAATCACTTAAGCACAAGAGTTTGAGGTTGCTATGAGCTATGACACCATAGCACTCTACCAAGGGCAACATAGTGAGACTCTTTCTCAAAAAAAAAAAAAAGTTACTATGTAGAGCAGTAGATTATAATCCTTTTCAGAACTTTCAATCTGTCATCAGGATAAAAGAAAAATAATTCATCCCTTAGATCAAAATTAGATAATATTCATTCTATTCTTTATCAGACCTGGGATCAAGTACTGCTATGCTGGTTATTGAGTAACCTGAAGCTATTCCAACTTCTTCATTTACTAAGAGTAAGGCCACCTCTGAGGAATAAGATTATTCATCCATCCTCCCAGAGCACACTGAATATACCATTACATGTACTACTTGTCACTTTGTATTCTAATCAACATCTGCCAATTCCTCCAGCAGATAGTGTTTGGGGACCAGAATCTTTCTTCATCTTTTTGTTTTCAGCATCACCTACAGTACCTCACACACATTTGGTATTCGATAAAGGCTTTTGACATGGATAAGTGTTTGAAAGGCACTATTGTTAAACTGAAGTCCTTCAGTAGAGAGTTGTGAGGCCAAGTGTGGTTCATGCCTGTAACCCTAGCACTCTGGGAGACCAAGTTGGGAGAATTACTTGAGCTCAGGAGTTTGAGACCAGCCTGAGCAAGAGTAAGACCAGTTCCTACTAAAAATAGAAAAATAAGTTAGACATCATGGTACACACCTGTAGTACCAGCTACTTGGGAGGCTAATGCAAGAGGATTGCTTGACCCCAGGAGTTTGAGGTGACTGAATGATGACACCATGGCACTCTACCCAGGGTGACAAAATGAGACTCTGTCTCTAAATAAATTAATTAAATAGGCCGGCCGCAGTGGCTTAAGCTTGTAATCCCAGCGCTCTGGGAGGCTGAGGTAGGTAGATTGCTTGAGCTCACAGGTTCGAGACCAGCTTGAGCCAGAGCGAGACAGACCCTGTCTCTAAAAACTAGCGGGATGTTGTGGGTGCCTATAGTCCCACTTACTTGGGAGGCTGAGGCAAGAGAATCACTTGAGCCCAAGAGTTTGAGGTTTCTGTGAGCTATGACATCACGGCACTCTACCAAGGGTGACAAAGTGACCCTTAAAAAAAAATTAGGCTCGGTGCCTATAGCTCAGCGGCTAGGGCGCCAGCCACATACACCAGAGCTGACAGGTTCGAATCCAGCCCGGGCCTGCCAAACAACAATGACAACTACAA